CTATCTCTCCAAGCTGGTCTGCTTTATACTCCTTCACGTCTGATGCTTCAGCCTCACCAAGCACCTCACTCTTCCCCAAACATGCCACGCCCTATGACCAACTTGTCTTGCTTTGTGCCTTTCCTTCTGCCTGGAATATAATGCATTCCATTTTTCTGCACAGAAATCTCTACTCACCATTCAAAATCCAAATTAAATGTCATATCTGTGAGCATACCTCCCCAACTCTGCCAGGTAATTTGTTTCTCTCTCCTCTATTTCCCCAGAGTATTTTGTTCCTTCCTCTACTTTCAGTCCTTATTGCAGTGTACTGCAATACCTTACTTGCCTGCCTTTTTTTTATTAGATTGACTTCTGCTTGGACTGCCATTTTTTTGCACATCTATTCTGTGTGCCTGAAAGCTAGCACCATCCACAAAGACTGCTGCATATGTGAGCAGGGCAGTGGGGTGATATCTGAAGGCAGAGTCCCGTCTCTGGGCTAGAAGACCACCTCCATTATTGAGTGATGGGGTTAGGCCATCTCATGGCCCCTCTGAGTTTGTTTCTTCATTTGTAAGTAATTCAACATCCTAGAGTGCTACTGAGAGCTAAATGAAGTGATTGATTTGGAATCATTTTTATAAAACAATTGTGAGTGGTCTAAAATGGCCAGTTTCTTTAGTTTTCATGTACTTCTCCTTCCAGATTAATTTGCCCTTCTACAGGTCGTTCCCAGTTTTGTGAATTATTCTTTTAAGAATAAGTCACCAATAGTGGGGATGTAATTTGGAGTAAATGATTCATTTGAGTTATCTTCACAGTGCTGGGTTTGTTTGTGTACATGGTTGGAAATGCAGGGATGCAGAGTTTAGGCAGTAAAAGAAAGAACTTTCTAATGGTCCGTGTAGTCCAATGGTGGCTTCCAGCTCTGCGTTAGGGAGTTCTCCATCACTGGAGGCATACAAGCAGAGCCTGGCGAGCTTTACTTATCAAGGAGGCTAATCAGAGAATGTATGACCTGGCCCAAGGGGCAAAGGAGAGCTGAGCTATCTGACCTGAGGGTCCTTCTCTTTTAAATTTACACACAAACCACTCTGAGAGATGGATCAGGCTTTTGCATTTTATTCAGGGGATAAGATAAAATGGTGGAGGTTTTCTTTCCTCTTTAAATGAAAGTTGTGGATTTTATGTAAGACCGCTATAACAAATCTGACATTTCTACATTGTGAGTCTGAGCTAAAGCTGAGATTTGATTTTGAAATATGAAAGTAAACTGTTACTAGCTCAATTTAAGTCTCTAGGATTTATATTTATATATATAACCTTTAAAGTTCTCCCAACTTTTCACCCTGGAGAAAAAGAAGAAATTACAGTTATCTTACTTAGGGCCGGAAGTTGAGAGAGACACTAGTTGTGGGTTAATGGAAAACTGACCCTGTTTTGCCTGGGCTCCCAGCAGCTTCCACCACCTTCTAACTGATGTGAACTCTCACACCCAGGGACATAGTTACAAGCCTCACATATTAAATTGAGTGCTTTTGTAGTCCAAGCTCGATTACAAATCACTTTTTGAAATGTTTCTTCATGGTATTTTTAAGAGCACTATTGGTTTTTAAACATCAGCCTTTCACAGTCCAGAGCAACTTCTTAATGTCGTTATTGCTCATGGCAAACCCATTTCAATTCTCTAAAAACTATCTTTCAGTGTTTCTTTCTTTGTGCTGTTTCCACCCAGCGTGCCAGTGTGCGGCTTGTTTTCCTTATACCTCTCCTCCACCACTGCCCACTACCCCCCACCCACCCCAGAGCTGGGATTGAGCCAAAAGCATGCCATGTTGGCATTAGAAGACTCCTAGATCCCATCTCAGCTAATTCCTATCTCTGCAGCCCCTGCCCCACTCTCATTAAGAATGAAGAAACTGAGGTATTGTGGGGCCCAGGGGTGCTCACAAAGCAAGTAGTAGCAAAATCAAGCTCAGTCACATGGACGTCAGAGTCTCAAAAGACTGAGTTTGGTTTGCTGGAAGTAGCACATAAAAGCAGGTACAAGTAGTTTATTTGTCGGGATCCCAAGAGGCCAGCAGGAATGTGAGGAAATGCGACAGTGTTTCCTCATTAGGGAAGGTGGCTGTTTGGGATGCGCTCATAGACAGGTTAGCACCGTGGGCAGCCAGGGCTCAAGCCCCTGAGAAACTCCGGAGAGGGTTCACAGCAAGCCCCCCCCCCGGCCCCGGCACAGAGCTGTAGGGCTTTCCACAGGAAGTCACCCAGCAAACAGCGCTGATGCTGGCCTGGGAGACACAAGTGGGGCTGGGGCAGCTGCTGCAGCAGGGCTCAGATGCAGAATCCGCTCCCGTCTCTGGTCAATGAATCTCAGAGCTCTCTGCCTTCGAGCTGAGAGGCTGGAATGAAACATGATTTGTAAAGGGAGATTCAATGTGCAAGGTCAGTATTTGCAAATGAGCAGTGTCCCTATTCTGTGGGAACGTGCCATGCACTTTCGCATCTTGCCGCCTTGGCTCATGCCGTCCCTCCTGCTTGCGTGACTTGTCCTAGAAAACTCCTACTCATCTTCCAAAGTCCAGCTCCATCATGAACTTTCCTGCTATGGCCTTTCCTGATTCCTCAGGAAAAATTGACCACTCCCCTGCTTTGCTCTGACAGCACATTGTGCTGGCTCTGAAATAACGGACGACGTAGTGTCAAGCATCCTGTGCGCCCATCTCAGCTCTACTAGTAGCAATAATAGCTAATGTTTACTGAGTTTAATTATGACTTTATGTGCCAGTCACTGTTAAGAATACTTTATGTAGATACTTATACTTATGTATCCCCTCAATGGCTCTACTATGAAGTAGCTGCAGTTAACATCTCCAATTTGTAGAAGGGAGTCAGAGAGGTTAAGCAGCTTTCCTGGGATCATGTTAGCTAGGGGCAGAGCCAGAAGGTTCCAGAATGTCAGGCTACCAAGTCCCTGCTCTTAACCACTCTGCCGAACAGCCTCTCTTTGGCCGCAGTAGAGAAGGAGTGCCAAGGACTGAACCCTGACGGTACTGCTGGCAGTTTTCATAGGCGTCCTGCGAGGCTAGGAAACATTGTAGAGAATCTGACACGGATAGGCAACACAAGACTTACATTTAACAAAGATCATTCTTGCTCTGGTGGTAGGATGAATTGGAAGAGGAGAGCTTGAACACAGAGATGGGTGAGGGTCAAGAGGCTGGTGCAGCGATCCAGGAAAGAAGTAACAAAATTCCAGGCTTAGCATGAGCTAGCCCCTGTTTACCTCCCCCGCCACTCCCCAACACAGCGGGGCTACCTCCTATGTTTGTGCAGGTGGTGCCCTGCACACGTGATCTGGCCAGGGGGGCAGGTAGGGGCGGAAATGCAGCCACCAGTGAGCCCTGGCAAGGGGTCACACACACCAAGAAGGAAAGGCACTTTTTGCTCACTTGTGCAAAGAAGCCAGATGGGCCAGTGGGGACCTTACCAGTGCAGATATTTTAAACTACTTTTTGTTTCCTGATTATGTCATGGTTTTCCCCCACCTCTATGTTTTGAACATTTGGTTTCTTCTGCGGAGGATGCTCTTTCTGTCATTAATTTATTCTTTCACTTGATGGTGACTTGGGGGGGAGCTTACAATCTACGAGGTAGGATGAATATTCGTGGAATCATTCTACGAAGAAATCACTCTGACATTTTCTTCAAAGGTGAAGTCAGGGGACCATGAGACTCTGCAGAGGAGGCCCTGCAGGATGATGGAGTCTGTAGAGGGGAGGGAGCGAGCACCACAGTGCAGACAGCAGGAGGTTAGAGACTCAGAGGCCTGTGGGGAACCCTCAGAGGCTGCTGGAAGCTTTCAAAACAGGGATATTCAATACTTAATTTTAAATTGTGCCTCTGAGGTTTAAGAGTTTTTCCTTCCCCAAACCTTCAGTACGTTTGGTGGCACACAAATGCTTCAAGGGAATGGTTTTGGGGAAAATGAGGGGGGAAAGCTGAGTTCCCAGTAAAGGTCAGTGGGGAACAGCAAGGAAAAGCATGGCCAGGTGAGGTGACAATGATGAGGTCAAAGGTCAGAGGTCACAGAAATGTGGAGGCAGCACCAATAGGAGGTGTTCATAGAATCAGCTGTGGTTAAGCCTCAAAGGACTAGAATTTTATTTGTAGCCAGTTGTGGTGAGTGATTAGTATAATGATCAGAGACAGCACTGAGGAGGATCAGATGAGAATAGGGGCAGCCTAGACACGAGAGAGAAAGGAAGGGACCTTCTCACTGTGTCCTTGGCAATGGGACAGGACTGGGTTCTCTTTCCGGACATCTGAGGCATGATGTGTACACTCCAGCTGAAGGAGGCTCCTCCCCCCGGGCTGGCTCCCCAGGTTGCAACCCAGCCAGCCACCATGCGAACCTTCCAGGACCTTAGAGTATTACTAAGTCACCATTTACTGGACACTGTTACTTTCTGGGTACAAAGTCACTTGGGACGTGGTCCTTGGCTCTTGGTCCTTGCCCCTTGGACTATCCCGCCTAGTTGGGGAGATAAACATCACAGGACAGTGATTGGTACGTGACAGAGGCAGACCCAGAGGAGGTGGGAATGGGAGAGGGATCCTGGCCTGGTTGTGGGTGTCAGATAGTTATGGTCATGGTATTTTCCAGGCTGGGTGGATGCCTGGCAGGCCGAGGGAGAGAGGGGCACGGGCCCAGGGCAGTGGCTCGCAGGCTGTCCATGCGACCTCTCTGCATGGCTACTGTTCTCCGCAAGTCCTTTCTCTCCAACTGGACTTCAAATGCCCCAAGACCATGGAGACTGCAGTGTTTGGAAGTGATGGTGGGAAGGGGCAGAATTTGAGCGGCACCAAGGAGAGACCCCCCAGAGCTCCCTGCCCAAACACCATCTGTCACCACGCTTCCATTCTGCCCTGGCCCCTCATTCCCTGGGGTCTGTCAGGGGAAGTAAAGGCCCTCCTGGGTAGGTGCCTGCTGGAAAGAGATGATTAGGGGTTGGGAACTAGGGAGGTGGGGGACGACGTGGGGAGGGAAGGGATGCCAGTGAGCAAAGATGCACTTGGACTTTTGCAATGTTCTTGCAACCCCGTTTCTTATATGTTCCACTTGTTTAAGCCTCAACACACATGAACAGTAAAAGCTCCCGAAAGGAAGCACCCAGGGGGTGGGAACAGTGTTTCTGAGGTAGGAACATAGGCAGTAAAATGGAAAAAGAGCTGGAGTCAGAAGACCCAGTGTGAGTCCTGCTGTGTGGCCCTGAGCAAACCCAGAGCCCTCTCTGGTCTCCCTTTCTCCATGTGGCCGGTGTGCAGTCTGGGGCAGGGTCTTCTGCTGGCTCAGCCTCCATGGTCCCCAGTTTCCACAGCAAGACAGACTGGCCAGGCTCCAGTTCCGTTTACTCGGTCTCCACTGAAGCCAGGTCTGCGGAGTCAGGCAAAATAGCCCCAGAGGAAGATGTTGAGGGCCAGGAGCAGGATGGCATTGACGTCGCAGACGGTTCTCCAGAGCGGCTCCTCGGCGATGCTGGTCAGCTCCCGCTGGCGCGCGGCCATCTCCTCAGGGCTCCGTGCGGGCTCAGGGCTGCCGGCCAGCCCGCAGAACCAGTTCCACAGCAGCCGGCCCCACCGCCTGCACCGGGCTGGGGACCACAGCCGGGGGGGCGGGGGGGGGCAAGGGAAGCAGAAGGGGAGGTGAGGCCAGGTGGCAGGCAGGGAGAGAGAAGGGGCAAGGGAAGGGAAACTAGTGAGACACAGAAGGGGGGCGCGCAGAAAGAGGGGCAGGTGGCACTGGGGCCTTGATGGGAACCTATAGACTGGGCGCCCAGCTGAGACTGGGACAGAGCTCTGACCCCAGCGTCCAGTCCTCCAGCAGAGCTTCTCAGTGATGCAAGTAGGGGGATGCGGTGAGGATAATGGGGTTCATCCCAATGCAGAGCATGAGGACGGAGTAGGGCATGATCTCTTCCAGGACAGCTGGGAGCCACGTTCCCACTCCGGGCTGGCCTGCCTGAGGTCCTGTGCTAACCACCCACCGGCTTCTCCGAGCTGCAACTTCTCTCTCAATTAGGTTAACTGCGAGGCTCGGGTCTTCTCCAGGTTGCTTTGAGCATCAAATGAGAACGGACATTTGCTAGCATTTCGAAAAGTGAGCCTTGCTGGAGCAGCAGGGAAAGGTTCAGCTGACTACGGTTCCAAACACGCGTGAGACTGAGCCGGTGTGGACCTGACTCCCCAGCACCCAAATTGGGGCTGCTTTGAGGTTAAAGGGTAGCTCAGTTCTTTAAAAACTAAGTTTAAAGGAAATAATAAGGTAAGTATTTTTAAAGGTTTTTCTTTTTTGCATTAGCAGATGACATATTAAAATTAATATTTCATCGAGGTCGGACAGAACCCACAGGAAATGCTTTATGATCTTAATGACCTTGGAACTTGGTACCTGGTAAGCTCAGTGTGACTACAGAGTCTCTGGTCCCATCAAGAGACCATCTGGTTTCACTCCTACCTTGTATCCAGGAGGACACAGGCTCAGAGAAAGGAGGGGACCTGCTTAAGGTGGCACTAAGCAATACCAGGCGCATGGCATTCCAACGGTCCTGGGTTGTAGCATTTTACAAGCCCATTCAAGAACTCTCTTCTGACTCTCAGGGCCGCCTTCAGAGGCCGGTGATGCACAGGGCATTGCGCCAGCTCCAAGGCTCAGAAGTCACGAGGTGGTTGTTGGTGAGCCATGACCTCGTACATGTGAGTGTGCGTACACTTCTTTCTGACCTATTCTGCTGTCCTTAATTTTTTTTGTCATCTTTCTTTTTTTAGGACACAAAACTACACTGCCATGTCTCTGTCTAACTTGAGGACAACACAGATGAGGCTTCCTCTGCCTGTGGGCCTTTCGAGAGGGGGATTCCAGGGGTTGCCTTCTAAGAATGGGAAGTGCCTCCTTCATTGTTTTGGGGAGCAAGCCCCCACACGGGGCTGGCATTTCTCTGCTTCTCTGGGGACAGATTCTGCGCTGGGCCACAGGAACAGCCAGGAAAAGCCGCGATGATGGCGTCCGTCTGTCTCATGCCGGGGTTCCACCGGGACAGCGGGAGTGCTGCCCTTCCTCCTCCTGCTAAAGCTACCTTCCCAGCTTCTTCCATCCCTCTCTTCTCTTGGATCCACCTCCTAGAAGGGCCTCTGCTTCCTCCCTGCCATACACTTTATAGGAACCTAGACTGGTTCTTGCCGTGATGCGGGGAGAAAGGCTTTTGAGACCCCATCTGGTGCACAGACCACAAAATGTGAAAAAGAGACAAGGGGTTACATTGTGCAAAGCAAAACACACTGAAACTAATGGGACAACTGATTAGACAGGGGGCAGGGTGGGGGTGTTGACTTTGAGCATTGGTGGGGCTTTCTGAAGTCAGCCCATATGGGTTTTGCCCTTGGAAGTTTGTAAAGGGTTACATTCTCCATTAAGCATACATTTTTAGAGTGGACCACTGGCGTTTAATTGTCGCAGCTTAGGCAAGAAGATGAGAGTGTTGGCTCTCGGTGGGATGCTGGAGCTTATGATGTCATTGACTCCAGGCCCCTGGCTGCTTCTCTAGCAGGGCCTTAAGCAAAGGGGAGGGAGTCAAGACAGGTGGGCAATTTCTCAGGCCTAGGGGAGCACAGGGCCCCCCGAACCTGGCAAAGACGAGGGACTCGAGCGGCATGCTGCTGCCTGAAGTTCAGGTCTACCAGCTGGCACTTTGATGATGTCACCTATGCTCTCAGCTTAACATGACTTATTAGAAGTTCCCAGAGGCTGGGAATGGAACTAAGACACTGTGGAGGCCCAGAAGGAGCCCCAACCAATCCAACGGAAGAAGGCTGCTGACCAAGGCACCCCAACTCCACCTAGGTGCTGGAGTTCCCTCTAACTGAGGCAGGAAGTAAATTTAGGACTTAAATATCATTAAATTATTAATTCCTGAGGGCAAGAGAAATTGATTTGGGGCTTTGCTTGCCACCTGATTTAACTTTTTTGACTGTAATTTTTCCTTAGGAATTTTATAATTTAGGAGATCTCTAGAAGGTCATTATATCAGACTATTCTAATGTGGTTATTTAATCACACTGTGAGAAGGTTACAGTTGTGCTGTGTCTAAAGCAGTAACAGTAAGTCTTATGCCAATTTTCAACTTCAGACACTGTGTGGCCTTAGAGTACATCTCACTAAGGGACTATTTGAACACATTTAAGGACCTCTAGGAGGCCAAAAGTATATGGCCCATCAGCAGCTCAAGGACGATACCCATAGGAATGCTTGTTGGTCTAGAAGAACCTTGTGAAGAGGAACAGAACAGTATGGACCCAGGGTTGCCATGTGTCTGGGTGACTCTAGGCAGAATGGTTAAGCCCTGTGGGAAGTAAGTTTCTTTGATGTGCCTCATGTTTCGTTCCATCTGGAGGGAACTCAGTTAGTGTAACACCCTTTGATTTCTCTGCCCTTAGACTCATTCAGCCCAGGGGAGGTGAGGGGACTTCCCTGCTGGTAGATTTGGGAAACATGAAGGGGGCACACTTGGCTGTGTCCCTCCCTCCTCCTTCTTGACAATGCAGGGCTCACAGGGGTAGGAGCTGATGGGCATCTCTGTCTGATGCTGGGCTTCACCATAAGGAAATGCACCTTCCCATGGATATAAACAAAATCTTTCTACTTATATATATACTTAAATATAAAATATTTCTACTTATATATAACCTACTTTCTACTTATATTTATACTTATCCTAATTATATAATTATCTACTTATATTCTACTTTCTACTTATAAACAAAATCTTTCTACTTCTATATACTTATAAGTATGTATATACTTATATTTTGACTCCTATCTGCCTGCCCTGTTTGTCTTATTTCTCTAATAGTTTAGTAGCCTTGTGGGAAGGGAGGAACAGTCATTTTCTTTTTTTGGCATCCGAGATCCCATCCCCAAAGGAGGGTCTCTGGGGCCCCATGACACGGCATCCCCATTACTCCTGTGTGATGTATGCCCCCAGCGTGGCCCCAGCCTACCTCCATGCTGGTCCCGGCCCTGGCTGGAGCTCTCTGTCCCTCCATCTCCTGGAGGGCTCACCCCAGATGGCATCTCCAATGTTCCCGGCGTGCCCTCTGGGGCTTCCTTCTCCAGCTCAGGGTGGGGACCGTTCCGTGTCCACCATGTCAGGCGAGCAAGCTGGAGGGAAAGAAAATACTGCTTGACTCGGCTGAGCATGAGGAACAGGCACAAGGCTGAGTCAGGAGGCCTGGCTCTCAGCCCGAATGCCCTTTCCTTTGATGAGCTGCGCCCCTCTGAGCACCTGCTCTAGGCTCCCCACTCATAGACTGGGAGGAAAGAAGCTGAACACAGAGGTAGGTGCCCCATGACAGAAGGCTTCCAAGATCAGGTTGTGGAGTTGATACTCTTTTTTTTTTTTTTTAAGATTTTATTTATTTATCTGACAGAGATCACAAATAGGCAGAGAGGCAGGCAGAGATAGAGGAAGGGAAGCAGGCTCCCCGGCGAGCAGAGAGCCCGATGCAGGGCTCGATCCTAGGACCCCAGGACCAAGACCTGAGCCCAAGGCAGAGGCCCTAACCCACTGAGCCCTCAGGCGCCCCTGGAGTTGATACTCTTAAAAAGAAACTCATAGGCGATGGACAGTCCCTGCAGACTTTAGACAAAGAGACGAGACTCTGAGCTGTGGGATTTAGAAAGCTCTCTTGGAGTGAACTGAAGGGATCCAGGCTGGAGGCTGCTAGAACAGCAGAATAAGAAATAGCATTGGGGGCAGTGTTGGTGCAAGGAAACAGTGAACATGGCTCTCAGGTTCCCGCCTTGGACCATCAGCTGGGGCACTGGAAAAGCTCAGAGACTTTGCCTACAGAGTGCCCACGGGGCCTGCTGCCACAGAGCAGAGATTGTCCGGGTAAGGCGCAGCAGGAAACCCAGCAAGTTCTCTAGCTGATATGGGTTGGGCCCAACCAGGACTATCTGAGCTCTGTACCATCTCCTTTCCAAAAAGCTCTTTTCTTGGCCCAGCAGCTCTTGGTTACAGATTGGACCAACAGTCCCTCCCCTGTCACCGAATTCCTACAGACATGTCCAGCACACCGGGGGAGCGGCTGTCCTTTTCCTCCAATTCCCAGCTATGTGTCTGTACGGTCTCAGGAGAGCCCAGGCTGCTTCTCCGCTTATAAGGACCTCTCAGTAAGCGTGACTTCATACTTCCACGGTGTGCCATTAGCAGTGTATGGGCGGTGTCTCTTTAAAGCAGGATTTGGGTTTGAATCTTGGGCAAGAGGGAGAGAATGGAATTTCATCTTCCTGTAGAGGATAAACCAGCTCAGGGACAGTGTGGGTGAGAAGGGTTAAAGGCCATAGGTGGGTCCCTAAGGGACACTGATATTGAAGGCCATGAGGAAGGCTTCAGAAGAGCGAGCAGAGGGTTGGAGGGGAGTGTGTCAGGGACATGAGCAGGACGTGGTGTGTGGTGGCTGGTTCTCCTCAGAACTCACTGGCAACAAAGATGCGGATAGGATCATTCATTTCTAGCATCAAGAGGGTAACTGGGGTCTTGGTGACAGCAGTTTCTGTGGGAAGGTGGGACACCAGGCGGACTGGATGAGGAGACAAGAGGTGGGAACTGGAGGCTGCCAGTGACCACCCTGCAAAGTCCGCTGTTGGGGAGCAGAGTGGGAGGGAGGAAGAGGGATGGGGAGGGGATTTCAAGTGAGAGATTCTTCCGTGTGTGAGTGAGGCAGTAAGCAACGGAGAAGCTGAAGAAAGCAGTGGAGAGAAACCACTTCTGGAATAAGCCACCAGAGAAACTGGCCTGTCTGGACTCCTTTGTTTGTAGGAATTAGTGATGTCAAGGGTATAAAGTCATTTTGCAAACTCTCCAGCACCATACAGGTAATGCCTTCCTCCTGAAGTTCTGGGACTAGCTTCTGGCACCAGTTCTGTTATCCACTGAATTCTATAACCCCCCATTCATATGTTAAAGTCCTAACCCCCAATACACCAGAATGTGACTGCTTGTGGTGATAAGGCCTTTAAAGTGGTAATTACAGTTAAATGAGGACATCAGAGTGACCCCAATCCAATAGGGCTGGTATCCTTATAAGAAGAGGGGATTGGAACACAGACACACAGGGGAAGGACAGGGTGAGGACACAGAGGCAAAGGCAGACGTCTGCAAGCCAAGGAGGGGGGCCTCAGAGGAAAGAACTCTGCCAACACCTTGATCTTAGACTTCTTGCTTCCAGAACTGTGAGAAAATAAACTTTGGTTGTGGAAGCCACACAGATGGCAGTGCTGTGTCATGGTTGCACCCATGAGGTAAAGATGAAAGGTTTCAAAAGACTGAGGACTGGGAAATCTGTCAGCACAGGAGAGTGGGGCGCTGGCTCTGGGCTCTGGGAGACTCTATGTCTTTTCTTATCTACCTGTTCCTTCACTGACCAATGAATCCCTACTCCTCCTTCTAGGGCCAGCTCAAAGTGACCTTGCCGGGGAGCCCTCTGCCAACCCCCAGGGGTGACCACCCCTCCTATGCTGGGCGCCTTCCCACATTTTCTCCTGGTAGGATAACTGTCGGCGTTGGTGTTTGTCCCAGACAATCAGTGGCAGGGACAATTCATCTTTGTAACCCTAACACAGTGCCTGGCGCATAGGACAAGTTCACTGAGTAATTTTTCAATTGAATAAATTACTTTTCACCTGGGATTGAATAATCCAGTGAGCTCCTCTCCCAAGAACGTGTGTATGGCCACAGAGGAGTTGAGCCACTGGAATGAAGCTCAGTGCTAGAATCCCAGGCCCTGTGGGGGAAGGGACAGCATTTCGAGGGGCCCCAGTACCAGCGCTCCACTTGCCTTTTCCTCAGGGATGGGGCTGGTACAGAGGCTAACAGCGACGATGACGATGGCAGTGAGCCCACAGAGCAGGAGGGCAAAGTAGAGGTAGTGGAAGTCCTTCAGCACGGCCGGCCTCTGGTCCACCTCCCCACAGGCTGGCGCTGGGTAGGAGAACTCCAGGATCATGCGCACAAGCCCCACAGCCAGGCCGAACATGAGGCCCCAGAAGGCTCCCTGTGGAGAGAGGGCAGACATGGGGGGGCCCTGGCAAGCTCAGGTCTGTTACACTGTTTGCGGGCCCACCTCAGTGAGCTCCCCCGTAATGCTGAGCCTTTGCTGAACTTAAAAGCAGGCAGAGTGGCGCCCTGAGCAGGACACAGTCTCCAGAGTCAGCCAGACAAGGATTTGGATCATGGCTCCGTTCCAGAATGACTGAACAGGTGAGACAACCTCACTGGCTTAGAGTTTTCTCATGCGCAATGATAGGAAAAACTAGTATATAGTAAGTATAGATGCTTGCTATTCAGCTAGAATGGGATATGCTTTTGTAATAAGTAGGGAAAACCAGGATCTCCCATCCTGATTTTCTGTTACAATAAATAAAGAATCAGAATAGAGCTCTTCTTTTTACCAAGGAAGAAAGAAACAAAGAAAGAAACAAACAAAAAAAAAAAAAACAAAGAAAGAAAGAGGAAAGAAAGAAAATCTCGTTCCTTGTTTATAGCACCACTTGACCCAAACCTACACCTTTTCCCCATATGTGAGGGTCAGAAGGCTCATATTTTTAAAACGAGGTGCCGATCCTGACAGCAAGAATTCTGGAACAAACAGAAACACCCAGAATTCAGCCGAGACCTGCTGTGAACCTGGTTATCAGCAGGGAGGTTAAAGTTCCAGAAACGGTCAACACGTGGCCTGGGTACCTGTCCCCCCCATCCCCCGCCCAGGGAGAGGAGCTTCTGGGGTGTCCTTTGCAATGACGTTGAGCTCTCCTGTGGCTCATGCAGAACCGTGTCCATGACATCCTTTAGCCCCCAAAGCACAGCCCACACAATCAGGCCCCTCTTTTTCTCGGCTCTCCTGGGGAGTGACCAAGGCAACCGCCCTGGCCCCTCTAGCTCCTCCCAGCCCATCAACCTGCAGCAGCTTCATCAGTGATGCACCTGCAGGGTCATTTGTGGCTGGTGTTTGCCTACATACAGAACCTTATGGGGTTAGAGAGGGAACAGACCCCAGGGAGCCTCCCGTCTGTCCTGGCCTTTTGCACACACTCTTCCACGTGTCGGAAACATTTTTCTCCTCTCCATTCATTCTTCAGTCTAGGCTCAGAGGTCCTTCATCCAGGAAGTCCTCCCTGGCCCCCTCCCAGGCATCCCATAGGTTAGGTGCTCCCAACCTCCACTCTCACAGCAGCCACTAGACCTTATGGTTATTCCCTATTGAATCATCTTTCCTCTCACCTGGCCCAGAGATGGTGGACCTACCTACATGAACCTTGTACACCATCGCATCCAGAAGCTTGCATAATAGGATCGATGAAGGTTTATCAAGTGAATGAATGAATCAAAACCCGACGCTATGGATGGGGAGATGGAAGCCTGGAGGAGGCGGTCAGTATGTCTATTATGTCCCAAAGAGACCCCAGGCTACGGACAGCCCGGACCTCCCCGCCCTCTGGTGTGCAGGGAGAGACAGGGGCCCTGCTGCACTCACAGGCTCTGTGACCCTCTTGCAGAAAATGGCCAACAGGAAGAGGGCGGTGATAGGCGGGGCCAGGTAGCTGGTGACAGACTGGATGTAGTCGAAGAGCTGCCCGCTGTTAGAGCTCTGAATGATGGGGATCCAGAGGATGCTGATGACAACCAGGAACACCACGAACACTCTGCAGGGAGGGCACAGGGCTAGACTTTTCCCTTCTTTGGGCTCCTCCAGGTCTAACCCGCCTCTCCATTACACTGGCATTTATCTCAGAGCGGGGACTCCACCTTCTCCTCCTGACTTCACCTCAACTGATCCTGGCTCAGGCCCAAGTACCCTAAAGCGCTCTCTTAACAATTTTGCATGCACGAGTTGAAAATTTTTCTTGGGTGCAATAATGCAAATGGCCAGGAGATGGCGCACGAACCCTACAGATGGATGAAATAAAAGGTGCGAAACCGCCTCAGTAGAAGGAAGGAAGGGTCTTCGGAAATGTCTCTGAGCACCTGTTCTTTCCTCTCCCTTCCCTCCCACATTTCCCGCCTCACGCCCCACTGGAGCCCCTCCCCTCGCAGATCCTTAAACGTTCAGGCCCTACACACAGCACCCCCTTAGGCAGCTGTAGACCGGAGCCATCCTGATGGAAGGAACAGTGGGTGCGAAGGCACAGAGATGGAAGAGGGTAAGTTATCGAAAGCCAAGTACCATCTTCAAACGGAAAGAATAAACGTGTTCGTCCAGAAACCTGAGTCAGGGAGCCTTAATTTATGAAGCGAAGAGTCCAGAAAGTGCCCCTTAACCCCGTGTAAACTACAAGCCTAGGGAGGAAAAGAAAACAAACCTCCAAATGATACTTTGAAAAGCACGACATCGAAACCAACGACATAAAGTTCAAGTTCTCCCACTTGTTGTTCAAGGCTCTGCGTCCACTGGAGACAGCCATCCTGTCAACTTCCTGGCTGCGGCAGCCCACGCTGCATTACCTGTGCTCCTGCTACCACGCTCAGCCCTCAGCCCAGTCAGACCAGTACACGTCGCCCCGGTGTCCCCAGCACAAGGTGTGATGCAAGGGGAACGCTCAGGGTGAGTCTGATGGAGTAAATTTAACAACAGGCTTTCCGTTTTCCTGGGATAATGGCCGGAGTTATTCTAGAGCTCCTGGGGGTGAGCTGCTTGCTAACTACCTCCGACCCCCCTACAGTTCACCTTCCCTTTCTTAAATGCTTTGTCAGCTTCTCTCACTTACTCGGTCATCAGAGAAAGAGAAAGTTGAACAGACAGGGAAGGGTTTTTTTTTTTCCTCCTTATTCTGGAAGCGGAGAAATGTCCAGAGCTGGGGAGGAACTTATGTGAGGTCATGCAGGAAGCTGGAGCTAGAACCAGGTCCTCCAACTGCCAGTCCCGGGACCCAGACCCGGCTGCGCCCCTGCCCCCGCCCCCCAGGGCAGCTCAGGGCAGGGAGGCAAGGGGAGAGGGGTCCTGCCTGCAGGGAGGGGGTGCTCCAGAAGAGGGGCCAGCGTACCTGCCCACCACCATCAGCTCCTGCTCAGTGGCCTTCCTTCGGAGGCGCAGCCACACGTCAATGGCAAACAAGGTGCTGCTGCTGTTGAAGATGGAGGTGAGTGAGCTCATGAGGGCGGCCAGGATCACGGCAATCATCAGGCCCCGCAGACCTGGGGAGAGGCGAGGTCTCCGTGGGCAGCTGGCCGGTCAGGGCCAGCTCTGCCGGGGACCACGGTGCCTACAGGGTCCAGCAGAGCCGGGGGTTTGGGGTGGTGATGGCTTGCAGGAGGTTCCATCTGGGGGAGTGAGGAATCCAAGAGCCGTGGAGGCCAGCTTCTGGGTAAGCGCTGCCTCTGCCTTGCTCTGCGGCCTTGAGCAAGTAACCTGCACCCAAACTCCTCAGCTCCATCACCGAGAGTAGTGGGACTGGGTGACTCCTTGGTCTGGGTTTCAGAGTTTGTAGACACTGGGTTACTGCCCCTGCTGGGGAGGAGGGTGCTTGTTAAGAATGGAGTGTTTTTAGGGTGCCTGGGTGGCTCAGTCATTGAGCACCTGCCTTCAGCTCAGGTTGTGATCCCAGGGTCCTGGGATAGAGCCCCGCATCCGGCTCCCTGCTTGGCGGGAAGCTTGTTTCTCCCTCTCCCACTCCCCTCTGCTTATGTTCCCTCACTCACTGTGTCTCTCTCTGTCAAATAAATAAATAAAATCTTTTTTAAAAATTAAAAAAAGAAGAAGAAGAAAAAAAAGAATGGAGTGTTTTCTGTCTGTGTGCCTTTTCATGGACACAGGGGTGTCGGGTTAAGGCCCTGGCCTGGGAGGCAGAAGGCCTGGATTTGTTTCCTGGTTCTGCAAGTAACTAGCTGTGTGATCTTTGAATGAGTTCCTTCCTTTCTGGACCTATTCTCCCCCCGGTTGCAGGAGAGGGTAGAACCCACTGATCTCTGCGGTCTCTATGACTCTAATGATCAAGCTTCTAGGAACAAGTCGTCTCCCTGGGGAGACCACTTTCCATCAGCCCAACCTCGGCCCTCTTTCCTCCCAGTCCAAACATTTAACCATCTCCTAGAGGTCTCCCTGTAAGAGTTAAGGCGTTCCAAACAAACCCAGGCCAGCACCTTCTTCTGGGGCCTTCTGTTGCTTCCTTTGGTAGCAAACTCCAATCTCCACAGCAGACACTCAGTTATCCTAGACCCCTCCTCTGCTGCCCTCCCAAGCCCCCTCCCTCGATCAGCCTCCCTGTGGACGGCCAGTCCCAGCTGGGCCTCCTACCATCTCTACTGTTTCTTTGATTCATTTCTTTTTCTACGGGAGAGAGGGAAGAGCTCAGTTCGAGCACTTCCCTTACAAACCTGGCTTTTGCCTATATCCCTACTCTCAATATCATCGTAAGCCCAGGACCTGGGAGCCCTCTCTGGATGCCTCTGTCTCTCTCATCCCTCGAATGTAATCAGTCACCAAATCCTGCCACCTGTACCTCACAAAGATCTTTAAATCCCTTCTGTCCACCCCAAAACCACTGACCTGGCCCAGGCCATCAGCACCCTCAGCTGGGCCACCGCGAACCCCTGTTAACCTTCCCTCTGCCTCCCCAAAGCTAAGCTCTCCCTCAGACTGCTCCTTCTGAAGTTTGAATCCCCTCATGTGCTCTGGCCGAAAACCCAGAGGAAATGCTCTGCTCCACAGTAAGGGGGCACGACCTCCTCTCCACTCCCGCAGCCCATTCCCCCTGCAGGTAAGCCCCAAGAGGCCGAGAGGCCGCTTCAGACTTCCTGCTCTGTCAGCCCTCAGCCTCAGCACATGCAGTCCCTCCTTCCCCAACGACATTTCCCACCTACATCTGGATTTGTCTGCTTAAAATGTTCTTCGGGATTCAGCTCCATGTCCTCTCCTCTGGGAAACCTCTGAGGTTCCCCAGGCTGGGTCAGGTGCCTCCTTAGGGATCCCTCAGCCACACTGTGTCCCCACACTGGTGACGCAGCATTGTATCCTCAGTGAGCCCAGGTGTCCTGGGGATAGCATAAACCCCAAGCACAGGGGCCGGCCTTTCATCCCTGCATCTCCAGGATTAGACCCAGACTGGGTGTATGGACGCTCGTGAAAACTGTGTGTGTGTGTGGGTGGGTGGGTGTTGGGGGAAGGAGGTGTGGAGGTGAGGTTTTATCCCCTATTCCCATCCATGTCCATCCTTAAGGCCACCCCTCCTGGGCAGCAGGGATTGGAGGAAGCTGGGGGATGGGCGTGAAGGGTGGCGTGGGGGAGGCAAGACTCACCGACAGGCATGAGGGCTATGACCAGCTTAGGGTAGGCGATGTTAGAGCAGCCCACTCGAGCCCCGCAGATTCTTTGGCAAACATCAGGATCTACACAGCCCACTTCATCTATAGAAGAAGTGATGGCCATTAGAGCCCAATATTTGCTTTCCAATGGGAAGAAACTACAAGAAACCTTTTCCTGCTGACTCTGGAGGGAACCAGCATCTCTTGTAGGAACCAGAGGGTCAAGGGGCAGGCTGATGTCTGGGTACCACAATCTAGCCATCTCCAGGAAATCTCTTGACCACATTCTACCCTGCAAAGCCTGACAGACTCTTGTGGGTTCGAGGCCTTATATCTTGCTTAAAAGGCAAAAATCCTTAGAAGGCACCAAGAATGCCTTCATTGGTCTTTCCCTTATAAAGGGAAAGTAGGATTTTAAAATGACATTCAGATACAAATGTCTTCTTCTAAAACACTTACTGTATGTTTGGCCCACAAAGCCTGACACACGATGTATTCTTAATAGAAGTAACAGGTGGGCCCCCCCCCCCCCCCCACCCCCCCCCCCCCCCCCCACCCCACCCGCAGTGCAACACCATCCAGCTCCTACCTGGGTACAGGGCCCGGCTGATCATGCCAGGCATGACAATGAAAAACATGGGCAGGATCTTCAGGTAACCCCCCAGCACAGAGCCCCCCTTGGCATGGGACAGATTCTTGGCAGAGAGAGACCTCTGCACGATGACCTGAAAAGGGAGGGGCAGCGGCAGGCCACTCAGCTTGGTGGGGCTCAGCTCAGTCACATGTGAGCCCTGAGGTGGTCCGGGAACAAGGCCCAACCCTCTCTGCTTCTAGATGCATGGTTTTCCCACAGGGAACCACCCCAGGCTGTGATGGGCTGGGCCAAGCCTGTCCGGGGCATCACCTGGTCCGTGCACCAGCACCACGTGGCCAGCACCGTAAGCCCGAAAATGAGGCCAGGCCAAGGGATGTCCCCATTCACAGGGTCCCGGAGCATGTGGAAGGCGTCAGACCGGGGGAGATGGCAGGTGGTATTGGGGACTGTGGCATTAGGGATGGCCTGTCTATACCGCTGCTCCAGGCCTGGGTACCAGCCTACCTCCTGAAAGCCTGTGGAAAGAGACCACAGGAAGTGACACGGCCCTGAGACCCCACTGGGCCTGTTCCATGCCCCTACCCTAGCTTCTAGTCCCATGTGGGGCCCTGGGGCTTGGAACTAGTATAGGACTTGGGAATCGGGGAGGGACGTGGGGCTCAGACCCTTAGTTGGTGTAGCGAGAACTTCGCTCATTTGGAACCCAATGGGGGGATGGTGGTGGAATAAGGCTCTGTGCTCTGGAAAGTTCCAATCAAACCACGGAGATGAAAGCCCAAGACAGATCAGTAAGAAGTTTCTACGGGATGGGGGGGGGGGGGGGGGCGGAATGTATTCAGGTTTCTACCTTACCCAGAAACATGAGGACCAGGGCGCCCCCCACCATGATCACCGTCTGCAAGGCATCTGTGTAGATCACGGCCGTGAGGCCCCCTATGGACCCAAGGAGAGGGCTCATCAGTCAACACCAACAAAGGTTTCCTCTCTGGGTGACTGCCCTGTGCTTGGCACACTGAGAAGCCCTCTTAGCAGGTGGATTCTCTCTGTCTGCCTTCCCCCCACTGGCTGGTCCTAGCCACAAGCACTCTGGTCTAGCTCTCTCTCTCCCCAGCAGGCCCTGAGTGTGGCCACTGTGCCTCAGTTAGCTCTTGTTGTTGATATCCCAGCACTATTCCTCCGCTGTACTGGGAGTTCCCACCCACCCCAACTCCACTGAAATTCCCCAGCTTTGCAGGCTGACTTAGCCACAAGCTGGGGTCCCAAGTGACCAGACCTGGGGGAGACAGGGGAAAGCAGGCTGGTGGCTTTGTCTAGAGCAGGTCCTGATGACTCCAGTCCTAATAACAATCCCCTAGTCACACCCCTGCTTGCTGCTGCATCCCTAGGTATCCCTCTCCACCTCTCCCCGTCTCTTGGTCTCTGCTCCTGATGCCTGCACCCCAATGCAACCTGCCCTCGGCCCTACCAGCAATGGTGTAGACGGCCGTCACCACCAGCAGCATCGCCGTGGAGAGGTAAAGGTTCCAGCCCAAGGCCATCTGGATGAAGAGAGCTCCAGAGAAGATGTCAGTCTGCAGAGAGCCAGGACCAGGAGTCCAGGTCACTTGAGGCCCTCGCTGTGGCCACCAGGTCAGCGATACCAAGTGCTGGCAGCCCTCATCCCATGATGAGGGTGAGCCTAGAGTGCTGTGCTGAGGAGGACGGGCTTGACCTTGCAGACGCTGAGGGGCCATAGGGAGTGTCGAGCAGAGGAGCCCCACATCCAACTTTGGAGCCAGGAACAATGTCATCTGGGGCGCTGATGGGAGAGTCTTTGCCCAGAAGGCAGGGGTGAAGGAATAAAGTGAAGACAGAGGAGGTGAAGCGGGGAGCAGGGGTCGGAGAGGGGAGAGCGGGCCCCCAGAGGCTCGCGGCCTGCTCCCTAGCAGAGCAGAGGCAGCTGCGGGGCCAGCTCCCACAGACATGCAGGAGCAGGAGCCTGGTGCAGAGGACCGCACTTCAGACACACCCCGTGTTCAGGTTTATTAGAGGACTCTGGAGCGTCCTCTGCCGGAGCGGACTTGGGCTCATTTTCAAGCTCAGTCCCTGTCAGTGCCTGCTTGCTGACCCCCCTGCACGGCTCTTTAACGAGCCCATCCCACGCCTACAACAGGGCAGGGTGCAAGGACCCCTGGACTGGGGCATAGGACCCAAACTTTAGTTCCAGTCCCACAGCTACATTCTGTGTGGATGTGGGCAAGCTATTTGCCCTAAGTGTGTTTTCTGAGTGTAGGTCAAGGAAGGAAGAATAAGGACCTTTGTTACTGTAACATTCTAGGTAATCAATGCATGGTGCTAAATGGAGAATCACTTAACGGAAAGATAAATGAATGAATGAGCTCTAGATGATGGAGTCTTTGAATAGAGGGACTGTCATTTACACAACAGACATTTCTTATTCATCTGTGATCACTCCACTGCTGAGCGGGGACTTGCATTGAAGGTATGTGGTTTCATCCCTTCTTCCTCCCTTCCTTCCTTCTACCAATCTATCAGCTGTCCATCCATCCATCCATCCATCCATCCATCTATCCATCCCTACATCCAACAATAAGCCATGACACAAACTCAGCATTTTCGGGCGGCTGCATAGCTCAGTCAGTTAAGCATCTACCTTCAGCTCAGGTCTTGATCCCAGGGTCTCGGGATCGAGCCCCGCATCAGGGTCCCTGCTCAGTGGGGAGTCTGCTTCTCCTTCTCCCCTGCCCCTCCCCCTGCTCTTGCGCACGTGCTCTATTTCTCAAATAAATAAACTCTTAAAAAAATAAATTCAGCATTTTAAAGAAGAAGATGGCCATACTCGAGTGGGTACTCACAGAAATCTTGGTGAAGATGTAGAGGATAAGAGACAAGACAGACATGTACACCTGGATCCTGTGGCCGCCGAACCGCTTCTTCAGATACTGAGGCATCGTGACCGCCCCAGCGGCGATGTACACGGGGACGAAGATCCAGCCCAGGGCCAGAAGCAGCCAGGTTGCCTTGGAGAGTGGGGAGAAGTAGGTCTCTACATCCTAGATGCAGAGAGAGAGGCAACCCCTACCCCAGGGGGAGAACTGAGCCAGGGAGCAAGGGACCTGGGACCTAATCTTGGTGCTGTGTGGTCTGATGAGTCCCTCTTCCTCCTCCAGGCCTTGATTTCCTCATCTATAAAATGGGTTTTTGATTCACCATGCAGCCTCCCCAAATACCTCCAATGCTTCTCTCAACACTAAAGACTGGGATGGGGGTCAGGGAAGCTTCAGACTTCCATTTCCCCCTGAGAAACCTCCAGGCCAACTTCCTTACATTCCATTCGAAGCCGCCCACAGCAAGACCTCCAGCGGCTCCTGTCCCAGCCAGGCCAATGAACAAGCCACTGCCCACGTTGCTGGACATCAGAGAGGCTCCAATCTGCAAGGCACAAGTGGGGTCAAGGTTCAGGGTCAGTTTTAACCCAAATCAGTCCGGAGCCAGGACCATGGGCCTCAGGAGCTGTGGACGGAGCAGGAGCTGGGCTCAGGAAATCTGAGATCAGAGGAAGGAGAGGACATGAGGGAGCACAGAGGAGGAGGGATGGACCTGACATTTTCTGGGTACCTATGTACCCAGGCACTGTGCAAGGCATTTAATATGCAGCAATACACTTAATATTCATGAACATCTCAAGGGATGGGCATTAATCTTTTCAATTTACAGAAGAAGGAAATAATGTTGAGAAAAACAAAGCCACTGGCCTCAGGCCACCCAGTGAGTGAGTGGCCAAGTGGGAAAGAAGGAAAGCCATGGGGAACAGGGTCCATGTAGGGAGGACAAGGCTTTGCACTGGGCTGTCCATCTGGGGGCCTCCAGAGATGAGGATGTTGAGGGCAAGGGGGAGGTCCCCTCAAGAGGGATTTGGAAAGGCCCCCTGCGACCCCAGTGCCTCCAGGCTCCAGGGCAAAACCAGGCAGAGGGAGAAGCCGAAGGGCTGACCACAGGCTGGGCCAGCCTCCGAGTTGAGGTCATATTTCTCTAGGAGGCAGCCAACTACTCTGAGGCCTTAGAGACACTGACAAAAGGATCATAATGGTTAGTACAGTTAGTACATAAGCAGTGTCGCCAAGGGTTGGACACCGTTCTAAGTTTCCTCATGCAGTCCTCACCACAGCTCTGGGCCGGGTATCCTGTTATATCCCCAGCTGACTGAGGGGGGAACCGAGGCACGGATAAATGACTTGCCCAAGCTCCAGAACCAGTGAGTGATGAACCTTTGAACCCTGGCTCCGGTAACTAGACTGACTCCAGTAACGATTGCACAATTATTGCTGAGCTCCTAATAAGCGCTCATTACTATCACCTTTTATTCTTGGACGGGATCCTTCGTTGGGCAGGGGGAGGGGCAGAGGGAGGGGCTCTGGAGCCTGGGCAGAGACCAGGCCTTGAGGACAGGCCCCGGGGCCAGAGGTGTAGACTCTGCTCTGGGCTTGTCCCCTGTGTCAGCCTAATAAAATCACTTCCTCCTGCAAATCCTGACTCTCCACTTGTAGAACGTGGGGACTCACCTGTTCCCACTGCCTGTTCTAGAGGTGGCTGGGCGGTAGAAAGCGAAAACAAAGGAAAGGTACTGAGGCCTTCAGAGATCAGACCGTAGACAGCATAAAGGCACAGAGATTACAACCGGCTTGATGTTGCTCATTGCCGCAGACACCTCTGCCGCCACACACACACACACACACACACACACACACTCAGGTGGTCCCGGGGATGCTGGTGGGGCCAGGGCTGGAGCACCTAGCCAGAGCACAGAGCACTGGGCCTTCCCTGAGGCTGCTCTAGGAGCAGGGAGCTGCCTCGAACCCACTCAGCACAGGCTCCTAGCTCACAACTCAAAGAGACATCGGTCATCAGGGTTGGCAGGGGGACCAGACGGGCCCCCTGGGACCAGGGATGCTGCTGCTCCTGCTCTTGGATTCCCAGCCACACACTCTCTTTGGGGTACAGGGAGTGGGGGTAAGGCATGTCTCAGGACTGGCCTAGTAGGGAAGGGCACGAAGTTATGGGACTTCTGTCACAGACTCCCGCAAGCTCCAGGGTTGTAGATGGGACAGAGATACCCTAAGCAGGGCTGGCTCTGCTCAGGCTGAAGCCTGCTCCCAGGGCAGGAGGCCCAGCTCCACACCACACACATGGCCGTGCCCCATGGAGGCGGCCCATCTCCACACCCCACTGGTCTCGGGAGCACCCTCCTCCTGTCCAGAGGCATGGGGTTTCCTCACACCTACATTGAGACACAGAGTTTCACATGGAGCAGGGAGATCTGCTCTCTGCAGGACCGGATGAGCACCCAGGCCAGCCCCTGGTCACTCCCCCAAATGCACCAGAGAGGTGCTCTGCCCTGCTTCTTGTCCCTGCTAGTGACTCATCTCCAGGGCTGCGATAGGGGGTGGGGCTGGGGAACCAGCAGAGAGGAATGGCCTCCAAGGGGCTTACTTTCTTCTGTCGAGGGGATGGCTGACACCACCAGGGACCCAGCCACTCTCCCTGTGAGCTGCCAGGCCCTCCATCCCCTGCTGTCCTGGGGACTCTCTCACGCTGAAGACATGAGAGCTCCCTGACCCGAACTCCTCCTGTCCCAGATACCCGAACCTTCCAGAGAGCTCTGTCAGCGTCCTGGGCTTCCTCTCCTCTTCAGTGAGTCTGTCACCTGTGCAGGTGGAGAAAGTGGGGAGAGCCAGCTTGGGGTGTAGGGATGGCTGGTGGTGTGTGCGTGCATGCACACGCGCGTGTGTGAGCCGGGCGTGTCTGCGCATGTACACAGCCACAGCACCCTGGAGGCTGACTCTCCTACCATTCGATTTCCAGGCAGGGCGTACCTCCCTCCGTGCTGTTTCAGGAAGAGGAAGTTAGTTTTGTGGACTAAGAGAAACAAGTGAGGCGGGCGGATAGGGGAGACTGGGGTTGGCAAAGGCATTGGGATTGATTCCCTGAGGTTGCTGGGGATTGACGTCTGTGGTCCCCCTCACTTCACTGCTCCACGGTACTAAGCAGATACATCTCCTTCCCACCTCCTGTGACTGAGGCCAGAGGCTTCCAGGAGATACTCACAGCCCCCCTGCTTCCCTCCTCTTGTCTGTGAGTCTGTCTGCCCAGCTAACCTGAGCTTCTCCAAGACAGGAACGTTCTAGGTTATTTCTTTTGGAGGGCACTCACCTAAGATGTGTGTTAACAAGATCTTTCTGGTGGTGGGGTGACTTGGGGCCACAGAGAAGGAGCCCAGAGCGCCAGGAACCCCACTCGCGGGGGGGCTGAGACGTTAGCAAAAGAAGACTAGACGAGGATCCAATGGTGGGAGGGGCAGGGAGGAAGATTGACTCACCGGCCACCAGCTCATGGACCTCCCCGCCAGGAAGTAGCCACCAATTGTGCCTCGGCTCGCTCGAATGGATGACTGGAAAGGAAGGGGAGAGAGCTGAGGGTTTCCAGAGCTCACCCACCTCTGCCCCACCTCAGCAACCTGTTCCTGGGCTCAGGCACTGGGGGACCATGAGACGCAGATGGGCAGTTTCACTGGTTTTACTCTACCGCCTTTGGGAGGGGCACCACCTCTCTCTGGGCCTCACCGTTCGTCCTCCAGAGCTGGTGTGAAGAGCCAAGGGGTCAACAGAGGTTAAAGCCTTGGCGAGCAGCACCGTGCTGGGCAAGTGTGCAAGATTCTGGTTATTGCCCCCTTAGCCCTCCTTCTGTCCAAACTCCAGTTCAGGAAATGATTTATATCTGATCTCCTTTCTGCGGGACTCCCACACTGCGGCTAGGATGGCAGAAAGCCCCACAGCCCCAAGCAGAGAGGGGCCCCCTTTGGGGCTTCTCTGCCCTGGCCTGAAGTGGGACCACACTGTAGGAGTGCGTCCAGACCCCTCATCTGAAGAGCGAGAGGAGAGTGGGCGTGAGTGAGTTCCTCTGGGGCCTCAGGAGCTGGGAGCATGGATGGCGGGCATGGAAGCAGAAACCTAACTTAATTAAGATGCTAAAAGCTCGGGATGCCTGGGTGGCTCAGTTGGTTAAGCGTCTGCCTTGGGCTAGGTCATGATCCCAGGGTCTTGGGATCGAGCTCCACATCGGGTTCCTCGCTCCGTGGGGAGCCTACTTCTCCTTCTGCCTCTGCTGCTCCCCTGCTTGTGCTCTTGATGTCTCTCTCTGACAAATAAATAAATAAAATTAAAAAAAAAAATGCTGAAGCCAGCAGGTCTCTGATTGGGTCTAGAGGTGGGAGAGATACCTGAAGGAGAGGAAAGGAAAAGAGAAAAGGGGCTTCTTTGCCCCAAGGAAACATCCCTAGTCACTAGGGAGTGTTGGGGGAGGGGAGGGGCTGGTTCTTGTGAAGCCTTTGCTTTAACTTCATCTGTCACCTCCGGCCCTCGGGCAGGCCAGATGAGCAGAAGGAATTCTTTTCACACATGAGGAAACTGAGCCCGGAGTCAGGGAGCAACTTGTCCAAAGTCACTGAGGAGCTGGTGCCTTTCCTGCCAGGAGTCAGTGATCAGCCTTTTGCCCATTTCTTCCTCACATCAGCCTTGGGAGGAGGGACAGTTCACCCCGCTGTACAGCTAAGGGAACTGAGGCCCAGAGAGGGTTTGTGACCCCACCTCAGTAAGCGACTGGCTGGGACTCGAATCTGCCAGCCAGCAGCATCTAAGGGGGCTGGCCCGTCTCCTGAAAGGGCCGTGGTGACACCTGCCATATCTTGTTGCCTGCCATGCCAGGCACTGGGCCAGGTGCCTAAATGTGTCGTGTTACTCAGGGCCATGACCCCTCTGTGGAGTAGTCTTTATCGTTCTCACTGTCCACGTGAGAAAAGGGGGCTCACAGAGCATTCGCATGTTCCCAGGGCTCCGTGGCTCTGTCAGCTGGGATCTGAAATCAGGGCTCCCTGCTCTCAGAGCCTGGCCCCCGCTCCAAGGCTAAGGCTCTGGTGAACGGTGGAGAGCGGAAGGACCTTCGGGGTCACCTGGCTTCCTTCCCATGAGCACCCAAACCCAGCTCCATTAGAAAGCACCATTCCTTGCCAAGACACCCACCGGTGGAGGGTGGGGTAGGCCAAGAGTGGAGCGATCACAGAGTTGGCAATCCTGGCATGGGAAGGAGGGCCGGAGTGGGGATGGGGGATGGGTGGGGCCAAAAGCCACAGATGCAGAGACAGGGAGTTGGGAGATTGGGGTCCTTGCCTGGTCTGCCTCTGCTTGCTATGTGCCCTCAGGCATGTGACACCCCTCTCTGTGCCACAGTCTGCCCATCTATAAAAGAAGGGACTGGAGAGAAGGATTTCAGAAGGATTTCGGCATCTTATACCTGTGCCTCCCTGATCCACCTTCCTTCTGCCCACCCTGCCCCCAGCTCCACCCCCAGGCAGAGATGGGAGCTGTCCCTGCCTCCCCTGTCAGCCTCCAGCCTCCAGGACTACTCACCCAGACCCCTACACCAATGACAAAAATGAAGTAGACAACCAGGACCCCGATGTCGTAGGCGTGCAGGCTGACTCCGGAGCCTAGTGCTGAGCGTGGAGCTGTCACAGTCCTGACCCCATTTCCTGACGCTCCAGGCCCCATTGTTGCCAGCTCCATGCTTCTCTGTTAGAGTCACTCGCCGCCGGCTGGACTTTGAGGCGCTCCTGGCTTCGTTCCTTCCTTTAATGATTAAACAACCCCAAGTGCCATTAGTTGCTAAGAAAGCTCTGAGCCCCAGTGGCACGGAAAGTCCTGGTCCCCTTTCCTCCTAACTGCCACCCCATCCTCTGTGGGACTCTCTCCCTTCCCCTGCCCCCAGTACACACACACACACACACATACACACACATGCACACTCCCACCCTTGAGAGCAGCAGGAGGAGGAAGAGGAGGAGTAGAGGAGGAGAATCCTGGAATTCTGGAGATGGGAGGGACCTTAGAAGTCGAGCTGTTCAAGCTCCTGCTTACGTGGAGGGGAAACTGAGGCCCAGAGAGGCTAATGGTCACACAGGGAAGTAAGGTGGAGCTGGGACTAGAGTCCAGGTTTCTTAGTAGTGAGTTCAATGCAATTTTCCTCATTCCCAGAAGGAAGACCAGGGAAAGAGTCCTGTGACCCTTGCCTCTACCATGTCATGTACTGCTACTTCCACTCCCCCACCCCCAGGTGTCATTTTTCCTTTTTATTTTACAATATAGGAAACTGAGGCCCAGGAAGAGACATTGTTCATTCCAAGCCACAGTGTGGGACAGAATTCACACCTGCTGGGTGCTACGACAAGTGGTTTGTCCTGGAAAAGACACAGCTCACTGTGCCCAGAAGACCTGCTACCCAGGACCCAGGCGGCCTGCTTTCCCATCCCAGCAGCACATCTCACTGAACTGCAGAGTGACCGTGCACAGACCTCCCTGGCTCCCCCAAGCCCATGCTCACAGACACCCGACACTGAGCGCCTTCCCCGCACATTTTACCTAACCCGAAGCCGGCAGCCTGGGCCTGCAGCAGCCGCTCCTCTGATGCATCTGAGACCCATCAGTGAGCCAGCGGCCATCTGAGCAGCCCAGGGTCCAGAGAGTGCCAGCAAGGGAGCGAAAGAAGTGCTGAAACCTTCAGGATAGATACGTGAAGCTTGTAATACAAAGCCCGGCCTTTGACCTGTCAGTGAGCCCCAGACATCCCCCCGCACAAGGGCCTGTCTAGTTTTGCTCTATGTTATTTGTGCCCCAGCTCATGACAAATTAAAAACAACAACTTAAGGGCACGAGAGGCAAGGCCATGCAGGGCGGCGGGGGAGCCCCGGCAGACGGCCGCACAGCGCATGCGCATCCTCACAACCGGGTAACAAACGAAGGATGATGAGGAAACACAGGCCAAACTGGAGCGAACAAACCGACAAGTTAGGTTCGATCAACTCTCGGCCGAGGGTGTTCCCACACAGCAGCTGAGGGTCCACGTGCATACTGATGGCCCAGAGGCACCGAGGAAAGATCACCGTGTGACCATTATGGGTTTCCATTTAGTCAACGTGGATTAGGGAATCCAGACAGGAAGAGTTGCTTCCAAAATGGGTTAACAGTGTATGCAGGTGTTGGCATTCAAGGATGAGGCCTCACATATGCAGGAAATCCTCTCGGAGAGGTCCCGAGACGGAGGATGTGGTCTCGCTGTGGCTCTCGCTGGAGGGACGCACCTGCGCTGCACCTGGCTCGGGGGCGGGGACACCAGCGTGGGAGCTGTCCCTCCCAGGCTGGCGGGAAGACAGCCGCTCATGCAGGACCGTGCCTGCGGCACAAGGCATGCCAAGATTCGCCCACTTGCTTCCTTCTAGCTGAGGGGCTCACGGAAGGAGCAACAGAGTCCGGTCGGGAGGGCTCCAGGGAGAGCCTTCCCACCAAGTGCCGCAGAGGGGCGGCGGACGGGGAGATGGAGAGACGCAGGTCGGGCTGACAATAGCCCCTTCCCCCCACCCCAGGAACGCAGACCCTGTAGCCCACCCTGGAAGGGGGACCTGCAAGAAGAGCAGTTAATTTTAGATGAAGTTACGTTGTATAACATATGGTGTGGGACGTTATAATTCCTGAGTAGTATCTGCAGTAAGATTGTGTTCTCCGAGTTACAGCGTCCTGGTGCATAGCTATGGCTCCCTGGTCAAGGTGACATGCTTGCAACTGGTCTAGGGGGCACAGAAGAACCATACTTCAGAGAGCTGCTTTTTGGTTCCCCTCCCTACATCCTCTTTATTCCATGTGTAGCTCTCAGTAAGTAGAAGCCCCGAAGCTTGACTTCTGGTGTTCACGGCCTGTATCTCCCTTGGGCTTCAGGCTGTGCCATCATTGAAGAATCTGGAAAGCAGTGTTCTTGGAATTCTGGGGCCAGCGACTTCCTCCAGACTTACAGCCTTGCCTTGGGAGGTCACCATCCAAAATGCAGTCCCTTTGGACAGCCAACCTGTCCCCTCCCTATCCTCCCAAGGCTGTGTTTGGCCTGCCCTTTCCCACCCTCCTGCTGGCTGTTCACATCCAGCCATGTCCAGGGCCCAGGGCCTGTGGCCTCTCTACCCTCCAGCTCCTCCCTGGTAGGCTGTCCACAGCTGTCACAGTGTCCAGGTTGTCCCCTCAGCAGTCTCCTCATGTGAGGCTCCTCCTTCCCTCATGCCCTCAGAGTTTGGGTCAGAATCCTTGCACTTCTTAGGTGCTTCGTGCCTGCAAGGGTCACACCCCCCATTTGCCCCCACCTCCAGGTGGGGCAGGTGCCCCCACCTCTGTGCTGTGTCCTCCTCCACCATCCCTTCCCAGAAGACTTCTCTCCCCTGGCCTGGGGAAGGTCCCCCTCCCTCCCATTTATCTCACTGATGTGGACTTACTAGGTGTGAGCCCTTCCAGGGACCTGGGTGCCTCATTCCTGTTCCTGTCCCTGGCAAACAGACTCAAGTCAGCACTTAAAGAGTGGAGGACATTTCTGATAGATTGTGCTGGGGAGAGAGGGGCAGGGAGGCACGGCAGGAGCAGACAGGGCCCCTAGGCAGAGGGAGGCAGGAAAACCACAGAGGAGTTGTAAGCAGGTGTGGTGTGTTCAGGGAATGGCTTGTGGAAGGGACAGGGGCTGCAGCCTAGGGTCTGGAGGGAGAATGTGGGGGCAAGGAGGTATGGGAAGAAGGATGTGGTGAGACATATTCTAGAAAATCCCCCTGGGAGAACACAGGCAGCAACCTCTTCAACCTCAGCTGCAGCAACTTCTTCCTAGAAACATCGCCAAAGGCAAGAGAAGCAAGGGCAAAATGAACTATTGGGAATTCATCAAGATAAAAACCTTTTGCACAGCAAAGGAAACAACAAAACCAAAAGAAAACAGACAGAATGGGAGAAGATATTTGTAAATGACATATCAGATAAAGGGCTAGTATCCAGAATCTATACAGAACTTATCAAACTCAACACCCAAAGAACAAATAATCCAATCAAGAAATAGGCAGAAGACATGAAAAGACATTTCTGCAAAGAAGACATCCAGATGGCCAACAGACACATGGAAAAATGCTCCACATCACTCGGCATCAGGGAAATACAAATCAATACCACAGTGAGATACCACCTCACACCAGTCAGAATGGCTAAAATTAACAAGTCAGGAAATGACAGATGCTGGTGAGGATGCAGAGAAAGGGGATCCTTCCTACACTATTGGTGGGAATGCAAGCTGGTGCAGCCACTCTGGAAAACAGCATGGAGTTTCCTCAAAAAGTTGAAAATAGAGCTACCCTACATCCAAGCAATCACACTACTGGGTATTTACCCCAAAGATACAAACGTAGTTATCTGAAGGGGCACCTACACCCTAATGTTTATAGCATCAATGTCCACAATAGCCAAACTATGGAAAGAACCTAGATGTTCATTGACAGATGGATGGATAAAGAAGATGTGGTATATATATACAATGGAATACTATGCAGCCACAAAAATGAAATCTCACCCATTTGCAACAGTGTGGATGGAACTAGAGGGTATTATGCTAAGTGAAATAAGTCAATCAGAGAAAGACAATTATCATATGATCTCCCTGATATGAAGAATTTGAGAAACAAGACAGAGGATCACAGGGGAAGGGAGGAAAAAAAATGAAGCCAGACAAAATCAGAGAAGGAGACAAACCATAAGAGATGAGACTCTTAATCTCAGGAAACAAACTGAGGGTTGCTGGAAGGGTGGGGGCATGGGAGGGATGGGAGGGCTGGGGGATGGACACTGGGGAAGGTATGTGCTATGGTGAGTGCTGTGAATTGGGTAAGACTGATGAATCACAGAGCTGTACCCCTGAAACAAATAATACATTATATGTTAATTAAAAAAAAAAAAAGCAAAGAAAATCTCTCTGGGGGCCAGGATGATGTAGATGAGGAAGCTGGCAGAACAGATTAATGAGATTGGAGCCCAGCGGAAAGGATAGAGAGGAGAGGGTTCTGGCTATTCTTACTGAGCTGGAAGTGTGTCTATCTTTGCAGCTTCCTCTCCCATCATGTCCCTTGACTGTCGTGCCAGGGCCAGGACACTCCATGGCGGGCACCCCACCCCTCGACGGTCCTTCCTTTGGACTCCCAGTGCCTATAAGCGCTCACTCCCTCCACAGAGCCACGAGTGAGCCACCTTGGATTGTTCCATTCCCGAAAAGACCCACCCTGTAGCGAGGGTGGGTAGGGCAAGAAGCCCTTGGCTAAGGGAATGAGGCACTAATGGCAAGATCTTGAGCATGAGGCGTGAAATGCTGATGATACAAAGTAGGCTGGGGCCCCCTGAAGCCACAGTGGGATCGATGTTTTCCATGTGGAAGGAAACCACCTATCATGCTGCTGCCTGGGTATCTGCCTCTCCTCAGGCACCCCAGCCCCAGGCGAACCCCGGGCAGGCTCTGTTGTAGCTCTGGCTGGCCTTGCCCTGCCTTCTTGCAAGTTCTTCCTGAAAAACCACTCGAAGCCAACCTTCCTGCTATGAACTTCCTCTTCTGGAACAATGAGGGTAAGGACTATGTTTGCCAGCACATGCCAGAAGTTTTGGTAGGTCACAGCCCACGTAGGATCGAAATTGTGATGCTAACTATGGGAGCTGGCTTCATGATTCCCATTTTG